TTGTGAATTCAAGGATTACTATTATACTCAATTTTATAGTAATGAGAATCAAGAAGTATATCAATATATGTATTAAAATAAATTACCAGGATCATGGGGAATATATTTTAAAATAGAATTTGAAAAATATATTAAAGAAAATATAGGAATACCTAGAACACTAGGATCAAGAATAAAATTCTTATTTGAAAGACTTGCATATATATGTCAACAAAGACAATTATTGAAAAAATCAAAAAAATTAACTAAAATATGTTGTGAAGATATAGAAAAACCTACAAGATGGGGATGTAATTCCGAAAAAAGAAATAAAAGAAAGTATAAAAACAGAAAGTTTAAAAAATATAGAAATTTCAAGAAAAAATACATAAAACCTGAAAGGAAATATTATAAAAGGAAAAATAATATACAAAAAAATAAACCTTATGAGAAAGATAAAAAACAATGTAAGTGTTGGAATTGTGGAGAAATAGGTCATATAAGTCCAGATTGCACAAAGAAAAAAGTAAGAATATTACAAAAAGATTATTTTGAAATAGAAAGCGAACGAAGTGAAATATCTGATATTGAAAATTATAATAATCAAGAAATATTTATAAGTGAAGCAGATTCAAAAGATAATGGATCAGAATCTGAAGAGAGAAATTGAAGAAATAGAAAATAATAATATAGAAATCCAAGAATATGATGGAATAGAAGGTTATGGATTAAAATTGACTTTTGATAATAATAAATTCAAGAAGATACAAAAGTTATCCTTAGATTTGAAAATAGGAAAATGGGAAATTTAAGATAGAATGTGGAGAAGAGAAATAATAGCAATAAATGAATACCATAAGATTGAAAAAACTATAGATGTTAGGACAACTCAGGGAACACATAAAATAAATTTTTTAACAAAAAGTACAGCATCAAAATTATTATCAAAAATTAGTAAAAAGCATAGTGAAAATATCCAATATGTTTATTTAGCAGGAATACAAATAATGTTTAAACCCTTATTTAGGGAAGGAATAGATTCACCATTAACTGTAAGCTTGCATGATGGAAGAATTATAAATCTTGAAGATGGTCATTTAGAAACTATAGAAGGAAATTTAGCATATCAAAAGTTAATATTTACTTGTTACCCAAAATATTGTGTCTCATTGAAAGATAAAAACTTTAATGAAGTTTTAGAATTACATTTCAAATTACATAGAAATGATATAATGGAACCAGGAGATCAAATTATGACTATGGAATATAGGGCATTATATACATTTACTAATTCTAATTATGGGAATATTTATTCTAATAAACCATACATAGAAATTCATAAGGAATGTAAGGATATTAGTAAAATAGTGGAACCAAACAAACAAATAAATCTTATTCCAGAAAAATATAAATTTAATATAACTAAAAATAAACCTGAAATAGCAAAGTTAAGAGAAGAAGAAAATTATAAAATAACATTTCATAATAGAAGGTTGATAAAGAAATCAAAAAGTCTTAAACTACCAAATAAAAAGGAATATTTGGGAGAAACTAGTGGTATAAAAGAAATAAAACCTCATGGAAATATGAAAATAGAAGGAAAATATTTCAACGGTAGAAGGTATATAAAAGGACCAAATATATTGATAGATACAGGAGCCGGTGAATGTCATATGGCTGCAAATAAAAATGAAGGATCAATGACTCACAAGATAAAACCATATGAATATAGGAATTTTGATGGACAACTATATATCACAGAATTAAAGGTAAATGTACCAATAAAAATAGGTGGGATTGATCTTTTAGTACCATATTATTTGGATGAAAGTATGGATATTGAACCTCATATATCATTAGGAATGAGTTTCTTAAATGGATTAGAAGATTATAGTATAAAAAGAGAAGGATTATATATAACTCATAAAGGACAAACTACATTATGTAGAATATGAAGTGGATGAATAATCAAATTAGTTTTCCATTGGCAGTATATATATAAGTTACTATAGTTGAAACGAATATAACAACTTGTACTTTAATTGATACAGGAAGTGATATAACAATTTTTAAAA